ACCCATTAAAATGTAATTTGTTTAAAAAAAGGGCTGCAATACTTACCTTTTAATCCCAAGCTGTCCCCTGCAGTACCTCTTTTCCGTCACTAGCTGTCATCAGTCTTCCAGGCTGGATGATGTCCAACATCTTTCAGCCTACTTTCTCTGAGCCCATACTGTTATGCATCTACCCCCAACATGTGACTGGGTAGTAAATGAGAAACAACACAGTGATAATTATCTGGCTGTCAATCTGCTTTCTCTTACTAACACGCACCTTGTCAGCACATGAACTAATAGGCTCTTTGTTCTGCTTCTCCCTATTCTACTCTGAGCATAGTTGTACATTGAGTGCAAGAAGCTGATACCAAGTCAAATTCAGATACTTACACTTCTTGCATAAAACAAATTATAATGATACATTAGTGTGCCTCCAGACAAAACATCTTTTTTAGTTTTGGATAGAGTGCAGAAAGGTTAGACCCTTTGTCTAGTTTTTATTGCTGTTTGTGTCCCCATTGGGGAGATTTACCCCTCTATTTCTACTGATGACTATTGTCACTGAGATAAACAACATTTTAGAGTTGTCCCCAGAACAGGAGGTGAGGGGAGATGTTTTCCAATAGTGATGCCTGTCTAAGATGGGATTTACTTTCACCTTGGGAGATTTTCAATAACTTCCTGTTGCATCTCTGGGACAAAAAGTAAGGGGAAACTTTACCAGTGGTATACAGACAGCAAAAAACAAACTAGGCAGGGGTTTTAACCCTTCCATTCATACACTATACATACACTTTAATAAATACAGAGCTGCATGAATGTGTTTCTTTTGTATCTGCCTATAGATCAGCTTTAAGTGTACTGTGCCAAACGTAGAAAGGTTAAAGCTCATCTCCAGGATATTGTTAAAACACCCACCCCCTCTAATGGATTACTGGAGGCAAAAAAAAAAAAAAAAATCTAAACGGCCATTTTACTTAACTAAAGCTGCAGTCATGTAATCTTCCTATATCAAGCCTTCTCTCTTTCTTCATCCAACAAGGTAATTCTTAGGATGTCCACACTGTCTGCCTACTTTGTATTGGCTGTCAACTGGGTAGGGGGGTCCTGTCAAGATCCAGAAATAGTGACATCAGCATGAAAGAATGATAGGGTGCCGGTGGTCTTGTAGCACAGAATTAGCAGTCCCCCCATACTCAGAAATGGTAGTGGTAAAGGACCTGGATGGGGGACTTAAGTGAATATGTTGCCTCAGCAGTTGAGAACCCAAAATAGCTTGCAGGATGTGTTAAAGGGGGGAATGGAATATAACTTAAAATATTATCTATTTGGGCAGCATGACTACCTTGCATGCTATATAAAAATGGAGCCAATGCCCGTGAATGTTGTCCACATTCTGGTTCCACAGAGGAAAGATAACTGTGCAGTTTCAGTGTAAGAAATTATACTGAGCAGACACACAAGGACATGTTCAGTTTTAACCTCGCAACAAACAACAGTCAATAAATAAGTACCTTAGAAAAATATTTTACGTGAAATACCAGCTTTTGCGAAAAAATAATAAATGCACATATCTTCATAAAAGAAAACAATGTGCATAAGAGCCAGTAAAGCATTGCAACAGTAATCAATGGATCACTGGTGCAATGCTTTGGCTCCTACAGACTCTTCATCCTGTTCCAAGGTACGGACATGCAGTAACATCTTTAACAAAAGCACACAATAATTTCTGATGGACAAGAATGAGTTACAGCTAGTGTTCCCCTAATGATCTACAGCTTGTGGCTTACAACACTTGATGTCTCTTTGAAATATGCAAATAAATGTGATAATATATAAAATAACAGAAGCTTACATTTAATGCAATGTAAACAAAATCAAGGATTGTAGCTGATAAACATAATTAACATCCAATTATTGGGGGTGGGGGGGTTCTTGAAAATAAATCATATAATGCTTAATGTCAAAAGTAGAGTATTGGACAATTTAAGTTCAGTCTTACCTTCGGTGTGGACGGCAGACACATAAGTCCAGTTATACTTTTTCACAATATCTAGCATAGCCCTGGCCTGGAGGATATCAGAAGGAACGACTCTCAGGAAATATTTGTACAGCGTTTTATCACGCTTTATCAATGGGAGGAAGTGTCAATAGACTACAACTGTGGTGACCTCACCGCACTTGTATTCCATTGAGAACTACGAGTCAATCATCGGTTACTGATGGGACTTGCAGTCTCTCCATTCACCGGGTGGCACAAAAGGGGGGGCATGTTTCATCATAAATATTGGTGTATCATGAACCATGGTCAGAAATGGCTCATAAAGGCTAAACTTAGCCTTTAAACAGTCCTTCCTGCATGCAATTGTGACAAATGGGTGATTGAAAACTGCGTGCCTTATGGCTAATGACACTGAATAGGCAATATGTGTTTAAAATAAATTGGGCACAATTATACGATGCTCTGACGTCACATTTGAAGCTGAGCAAAAACTTTGCTCGCTGTGGTGAAATGGTATTGAAGAAAGAGGGCACTAGAGCACTGACAAAATGCTACATCCGCATCTTATTGTGTCAGTGCAGCAGCATGTATTCAGAGAGGAAAGATTTGATCAAGGGAAGAAGAATTCTGTGTCTCTCGTATCCAGGTAAGTCTTAACTTTGATTCGTTAAGTGAATACTGTGTAACAAGACTCTGTACATATTCTCTGTACTCAGCATCAGCTATTCATTCATTACAAGATTAGATGACTTGATTTAGTATAACAGGTAAATTATTTGTTTTAGAACACACACATGTATATATTCTAGAAATGTGAGTGCAATCCCCGCTCATGATTGATTTGTTGTGTTGCCAGTCAGTAGGAGGTCTAGTTTAAGCCATTGCCCTGCGTGGAGTGGGCAAGCCGTTGCGCCCACAGCGGCAGAAGGAACTAGTGGTTGGAATTGCTTGTGTGTGGGTAGCTAAATCTGTGTGGGTGATTGGTGGCTGTGGGAGAGCGTTATAGTCAGATAAAGATAAGGAAGCAAGTGCTGTTTAAACCATTTAGATAAAACGGTGGCTATGGACGGGAGGAGACCGTTGTCTCTGTGTACTAGTCAGGTACGTTGAAACTATGCACAATGAAAGGCAATGCATAAAGCGGGGAGCGCTGTCCATGGTGCTGAAACCAGCGGGGATGTACTAGATCAGCGCTATCCATGGTGCTGCAATGAGTGGGGTGCATTAGATCAGCGCTATCCATGTTGCTACAGTCAGCAAGGTTCAATAGATCAGTGCTATCCATGGTGCTACAGTCAGTGGGGAACAAGAGATCAGTGCTATCCATGGTGCTACAGTCAGTGGGGAACAAGAGATCAGTGCTATCCATGGTGCTACAGTCAGCGGGGTTCAATAGATCAGTGTTATCCATGGTGCTACAGTCAGTGGGGTACAAGAGATCAGTGCTATCCATGGTGCTACAGTCAGCGGGGTTCAATAGATCAGTGTTATCCATGGTGCTACAGTCAGTGGGGTACAAGAGATCAGTGCTATCCATGGTGCTACAGTCAGTGGGGTACAAGAGATCAGTGCTATCCATGGTGCTACAGTCAACGGAGTGCAATAGATTAGTGCTATCCATGGTGTAATAGACTACAGTTATTTGTGGTGAAACCAGCAGGGTACAATATATCTCCATGGTGCTACAGTTAGCGGGGTTCAATAGATCCTTGGTGGTGAAAGCAGCGGGTTCAATAGATCAGTACTATCCATAGTGCTGTAATAAGCGGGGTGTATAATCAGTGTTATCCATGATGCTGAATGTAGCAGGGTGCAGTAGATCAGTACTATCCATGGTGCTAAAACCAGCGGTGTGCATAACATCAGCGTTGCCCATGGTACTAAAACCGGTGGGGTGTATGACAGCTGTATGCATGGTGGTAAAATCAGCGGGGTGCATGCCATCATCGTTATCGTGCTATAATCAGTCTATTCTTTTCATGTTCACTCCATTACTACGCCGACACAAGACACAAAGGCACAGACACAACTTTTCCTCCTATACTTTGGTTGCTTTAGTAACCATTCCTGTCATTTCGTTTGTTAAATATCTCCGTGTACAATACTGCACATGACCTAACGCTGAGCTGCATCAGCACGTAGAACGTACTGCACAACCATATCAGTGTTTTACAAAAAAATCCCTTTGCCCTATGTCAGCTAGATTGGTAGATTTGCCTATGGCACCGTCAATACATATCGCATTGGGGATTACCGTATGGTCTAAAGAGATTTGACTCCATGAAAGTTTCTTTGTATGGCAGCAGCACTTGCTTCCGAAGCTGTTCTGCATAGACAAGGTCTGACCTTGCCAAAAGGACAAGATAAACAAGTTGCATTTTTTTTTAACATAAATTGGAAAGTGGTGAGGCAGGGCTATTTTCTACCCTGCGATCCCCCTAGAGCAGAGACATGACAACCTCTTGTGATGGAGAGTGAAGTTGACATGCAACAAGATGTTGTTTATCCTGGACCAGCCATGTGCAGTGCATTCTTTTACACAGCAGAAGTATGTTTAGACGTGTAGCTTGTATAGCCGATCCACTGACATCTTCCCAGACTAGGAAATAATATCCGCTCATTCCTCCTTGTTCACAGGACACCTTCATCCACGGAAATGTGATCAGCCTACTCAATGTAAGGTTACAGGGGCGGTACCTGCAGACTCTGGACTGTGACTGAGGGATATTATTGTAAGGACTAGCATTTTCAAAGCCACTCGTTTTGCTTTCACTGGATCTGCATGGCGCCGTTTTGTCAATTATTGGATTTCTTGCCGCGTCTGCTATTGATGGTAGCATTGGATGTGTTCTGTAGTAGAAGGGCAATGTTTATTGCTGCTTCTTCTCCACGATCAGTGGCTCGGATGGATGGCGATATCATCATTGGGGCTCTATTCTCCGTTCACCACCAGCCGCAAGCAGAAAAGGTGCCAGAGAGAAAGTGCGGGGAGATCCGGGAGCAGTATGGCATCCAGAGAGTAGAAGCTATGTTTTACACTTTGGATCGAATCAACACGAATCAGAGCTTGCTGCCGAACATTACCTTGGGGACAGAAATAAGAGATTCCTGCTGGCATTCCTCTGTTGCCCTGGAGCAGAGTATTGAATTCATACGAGATTCTCTCATCTCAATTAGAGATGACAAAGATGGAATCACTAAGTGTTTAGATGCCACTCCAACTCCCCAGGGCAGATTAAAAAAGCCCATCGCAGGTGTTATTGGCCCGGGATCTAGTTCGGTGGCCATCCAAGTTCAAAACCTTCTCCAACTTTTTGACATTCCACAGATTGCATATTCGGCCACAAGCATTGACCTTAGTGATAAAACGCTGTACAAATATTTCCTGAGAGTCGTTCCTTCTGATATCCTCCAGGCCAGGGCTATGCTAGATATTGTGAAAAAGTATAACTGGACTTATGTGTCTGCCGTCCACACCGAAGGTAAGACTGAACTTAAATTGTCCAATACTCTACTTTTGACATTAAGCATTATATGATTTATTTTCAAGAACCCCCCCACCCCCAATAATTGGATGTTAATTATGTTTATCAGCTACAATCCTTGATTTTGTTTACATTGCATTAAATGTAAGCTTCTGTTATTTTATATATTATCACATTTATTTGCATATTTCAAAGAGACATCAAGTGTTGTAAGCCACAAGCTGTAGATCATTAGGGGAACACTAGCTGTAACTCATTCTTGTCCATCAGAAATTATTGTGTGCTTTTGTTAAAGATGATCACAAAGTTGGCCTCAGATACTGACCATAGGGGTGCATTGAAACTTTAATGGCTGGGCATGGAAGTAAAAATAAGAAATGGTATATGTAGGATGTCTGTAGAATATGTGGGGCTACAGGACATTATTGATTTGGGGTAGACATTGCATTATCGCATTACATGGTAAAGATAGAGTTGGCAGAGTTGATCTTGACCAAGATTCAGCCTGGTTCACTTATGTTTGTGGTTTACAGGGAGAATATTTAAAATGCAACCTCCACCCGTGGATTACAGTTTGGAGGGGAAGTATTTGGATTGGGGCATATGGAGTTTTAGATCAGATTGACCTGATAGGTTTGATATGGATTATTTTTCACTCATGTCTAGACTAGATACTACTAGTATATAGAAAACAAAAGGGAACAGAGCGCCACCTCTGTGTGTAAAATCGTTTATTAAAATAAATAAAACTAGTATATAATTACAATTACTTTGAACAACTGTTCTATGCATAGTTTTACCAGACAGTCCCCCTTCCTCTCCATTGTTGGTATTGTGACAGTGAACAATCTGTCTTGTATCTCATTAGTAACCACAATGTTACATAATAGGGTATGGGGCCTTACATTTTTTTTTATTCTACATCACTTGTACAATCCTACATTTAAAGAGTTTCCTCATCATATTAAACCAGAAGATTGCTATTTATATGTTCCAGTTTAATTGATTCAAATCATCTCTGCTAGTAAAGTTAGGATCTGCCTACAGTCATCCCTCAAGTGCTTAGTATATAAGTCAGTCTAGACATTCTCAACGTTTATGCATTACAATTATAGAGACATGAATACGCAACAGCATTGCTAAACACATGTAATCTTAACTTCTGTATCAGTTTGCAGAAATTAACCCTTTCACTGCCCTGGGCCAGTTTCCTTTTTTGAAAGTCAGGTAGCTGAGACATGTTTTTCAAATGCAGGAAGGAAATCAACATTACATCTTTAAAGTTTGTTAAATACACCACCCGTCCCCCAAACATATACTGTAATTTCTGTGAATAAGCTATGTAGTTCAGTGATAGTATTTTTGCATTTCTTCTGATACTCCTGTAAATGGTTATATTTGTTTTCAATGAAAATATTTAAAAAAATGTTTTTACCACATATTGACCTAAGATAAGCTCCAAAGGGCCATCGAATCAGAAGAAACTATGTTGAATAAAGAAAAATAATTTGTAAAGCTTGCAAAAAAATAAAAATACTAAGACATGCAAAACGTCAGATTTTTAATTACACTTTCTAGTTCTTTTCTAATTGCAATGTATGAATTTAGGTGCATGCTAGCATTTTGTTTTTCTTTTGTTTTCTTTAGATTACCACCCAATGTGCAGGTCACATTTGTACATTACAATTTAAGTTTGTTTTTTATTTTTGCTGTTTTTAAATGTTGAGAAGTATTTAAAGTAGGGCTGTTACTGATTAAAATGTTCGTGTTCGATTAATCAAGTTTTTTTCCATTGATTAATCGATTCATTTCGATTAATTATAACGTACATACAGACTTTTTGTCTAAGCAACAATGGTAATGGGGACATGGCCACACAAAGAAATTTAAAAAAAGCTAAATTTTAAAAAATTAACACGTTCAGGTTTTATTGAAAGGGGAGGGTTACAAAAAGGGAAAGGTGAATGTACCCTGGAAGCTGCTCTCTTCTGTGTCTATATGGGCCGGTTGGTTACTAAATAATCCACTCCATTTTTTTGTCATTTGAAATCCTTTTTTCTGCTCTGGCTATACACGCTTGAAGAGCAACAGGACTGAATTTTAAAAAGCATTACATAACTATTTTATATAACATAGTAACAGTAAGCAACATGGCAACAATACCTTTTTGTGCTTCTTCTGAGAACCTATTTGATATGGCTGATGCGTTCTAAGTACTTTCTCTCTGTGTACTTTTAAATCATGGCGCCTTTGTGGCTTCGTCGGCTAACGAAAGGAAGGGGGGAGGAGTCGGGTGACGTCACAGGATCTCCGACGGAACTCCCGGAAGACCCGGAAGCTGGCGGAGAGCTGAGTACCGATCAAAAATGTTTTAATCGATCAAAAAAATTAACGACGAAACTGAAAGCCGAATGCCGGCATTGGCCGTGCGCACACAGCAGAGGACACCGCGGGCACACAGGGACAGGGTAAGTGCCACTTTTGCGCAATCCCCCTCGGGATTACCGCTCTTGGTACTGAAAATTAACCCCGAGCCACACTCGGGAATACCGCCAGGGAGGTTAATAGAGGAGATGGAACTGAATGGGAAAGTTGGGCTCACAGTGGAATGGAATACAAAACAACAGTTTTAAAATGTTGACACCCCACTGCCTGAAGTTCAAGTTTGTTTACTAACCTCTGGGGATCCTTGTTGGGAATTCAAGTGAGATGTCTGTTATAGGAAATGTCTTTTTTTTTTTTAATTACTTTTTTTTAAAAACATGTAACAATTATAATTGTCTATTAAAACCTTGTTTTTATAATTTATTTGTCATTATATGTTTATGTGGCAGCCATATTTACTCATTATATATGCAAGTTCTGTTTTCCAGGGCTATCCAGTGCTTATGCTTTACTTATCCTTTTCATAATGCAAGTCCATCAAGGTTATTCACAAAAGGGTGAAGAGTTTGGAGAAGGCCGAGAAGTGAACAATCTAAGACAACATAGCTGATTTGGAAAAATTATCCAGTTCAGCTCACTTTCCAGTTCAGCTATGTTGTCCTAGATTGTTCACTTCTCCTGCCTTCTCCAGACTCTTCACCCTTTTGTGAATAACCCTGTATGAGTTGGCCAGCTCACTGAAAACAAACAAGCAGTGTGATAGCACTGAGCCACTAAGAGTTTCCTTTAATGGCTGATGTAAAAACAACTACATTTAATACGCTAACAAACATGTAAGAGCAAACATATCATAATGATGATTTCAAGCCCCACAGCTTTCAGTGCTTTCTCCTGCTGACTTCCATGCCACTACTGTCTCCTGCAGTGACATGGAGAACAGGTAGGACCAGTAAGGCCCCGGTATAGCGCGACTTTCGGGGCGACGAGTTTTTCCATAGAAAAAAAGCAAAACCGCGCAGAATCCGCCGAAAAAAGGGTCCTGCAGAAGCGACTTGCGACGCGCGACATGGAGCTAAGACAGCTCCATTGACAGCTCCATTAGCCAGCGACTTCTCGCGATATCGCGCGGCACAAATGCGCGATATCGCGGCGGAAATTGCGCGATAAGTCGCTACATGTGAATGGGGCCTAAGAGTGGCAGGAACACAGGAGATTGACACCCCCAGAAGTGTTGGTTTCCCAGTGGACTTTAGGGAAACATTTCTCAGCAACAGAGTATTTTTCAATGGAAAAGGTAAGTATTCTGTTTTTTCTATACAAGTATGTGCTTGCTTGAGGCTTTTTTCTTGTGTGACAAGGTCACATTTAAAAGTGAACACAGACAGTGCAGTTGATTTAAAGAGCCAGAGCATGTTAATTTGGCAAGGGAATGAATGTTCACTTAGCTTAGCGAATATGGTGGAAATTTATTTTGCAAAGAATACACAATCGCATTTAAGAAAGATGAAAAAAAACAGGCATTTTGCCTGCACATGATTGGATGATTGAAGTCAGTAGACCTTCCCCATATTCTCTAAGCTAAGGGGAAATTATCTTGCAAAGTGAACAGCTTATTTTATTTTAGTAAATCAACCCCAGAAACTCAAGATATGTGCTTACTAGAAACACACTATACTTTTAGGAAGTATAAAACCATTCATTTACTTTGAATTGTAATCATTATTATTCAATTGAGGGGAAACATGATTCACTAGGTGTGTCAAATTTATCAGAACACTCATTACAGTTATTAAATGAGACATTTGTGAAATGTTATATGACTTGATTGCTAAATGAATAAAACATATTTGGGTCACTCAGAAGTGTGAAGCAAATGTCAAAGTACTGCTTTTTTTTTTCATCTAGCTATCATTAATTTTCCATGTTGTATGGCATACTTAATGTAAAGATCACTATATGTGACAAGACATGGATTTCATTTTAGTTTTACAAAACTAGGACACATGATTTTAACAGAGAATGTTTTCCTGGCTGTACTTTATGTACACCATGTTATATAAATTCAAAAATATTCTTATTTATTTTACTTATTGTAAAGCTAGTTCAGTTTTATGAAACATACTGACAAGTATAAATAATAGATACAAAATACTGTAAAACAGCAATTTTATATAAGTAAAGGAAAGGTTAACTGCGAGAATTTTTTATGACTTACATCTCACAATTGCTTTTAAAGGTCTCACCCCTTTCCTGTAAGTTACAAGTGGTTACAAGAATAAGGGCATCTTACTGAAAGAGTGCAAGTTTAAAGTGAAAAAGACACCACATATTTAAGGAATTGCTGTATTTAAAGGAAACCCGTAGTGTGATAAATATGAAGGCTGCCATTGCTGACCTTCTAAAAATATTTGTTGCTTGGCTGTCTCTATTCGTTTTTTTGTTTCATTCACTGGGAACAAAGCTGTAGACTAGGAAAGTGAGAATAAATCAGATTTTACAATCTGCACACTTGTTTTTAAGTCAATGATTTACTAAAGGAAAATGGGCTGCTTACTTTGCATGGGAATGCTCCCTTAGCTTAGAGTGTGGTGAAGATTCACTTTACAAAGAAT